TTGCTGGTCTCTAATTGTGCTTTTTTTTTCCCCACTGATGATTAAACCTTGGTTGCCACGCATCCAGGCCTTTTTATTCTGAAACAAATTCTTGCAGAGTGGCCCTGCCTGATAACAATTTTTTCATCCTCCTGCTTCATCCTCCTGAGTAGCTGGTATTACAAGACTATGCCATTATGCCTGGCCTAATTGGCTTTTTGTTAAAGGGCACTAAACCCCTAACAAGGGTCACTGAACCAATTTACTTGTCTGTGTTATGGATAATAAAATCTGTGCTGCCAGCTTGTATGAGCCCTCATTATTTTGGAGGCAGGGTCTTACGAAGTTGCCCAGGCTGTCTGAGCCCCCTGAGGACATGTGTGCTCCATCTCTGTATGTATGTATGTATTTATTTATTTATTTATTTATTCATTCATTCATTCATTCATTCATTCCTGGTATCAGAAATTGAACTCATGACCTTGTGCTTGCCAGGCAGGCGCTGTGCTGCTGAGCTAAATCTCCACCCCCATCTCTGTATTTAGTTACATATATACCTTTCAGTATCTTTATGAAATGCTTAAATATAAAGAAAAATATTTCCGTGATAATGCTTAATGTAACAAATAAAGCGAGAGTGAATCCTTTATACTTTTCACTCCAGGAATACTCATTCTTTACCTCTTTTCCAAACTTAGTAAATATTTGAACAAATGATCCCAATCTGGGAAACAGTGAAGTGCCATCTCAGACAAATGAATAGCTAAAAATAAGTTCTAACTATTAAAAAGCATTGATATATTGCTCCTCAGGAGATAGTATTCAGCTTGATTAGGACATAGTGGTAAGTTACTTCAAAGAACTTTCCCTTTTCTGAGCTATGTAGAGAATATGAAGAAAATTAGGGTATTGGTAAAGTGATTCTAATTCTAGCGCAGAAGGGAACCTTAGCTATTTTTGTTTCCCAGGGCTTAGTCCTATGATGTCTTCATCCATATCTGTTTTCTTAATGTTTTAATTTGGCCCTGAGAACTCAAAATTTGTAGCTTTAGCATGGATCTTTGTCTATGGATCCATGGGTGGATCCTACCACACCCGGTCTCCAGCCCTTTTTTAATTTTTAATTTGTGAGATAAGGTCTTGTTAAACTGCTACACTAAAACTGGCATAGTGATGCACACCTGTAATCCCAGCACTCAGGAGGCTGAGGCAGGAGGATTGCTGTGAGATTGAGGGCAGTCTGGGCTCTGTAAGGGAGTTCAAAGGCCTGCCTGAACTACATGACAAGATGTCTCAAAAAAAAAAATTTTTTTTTTTTTTTGGGGGGGTTTTTTTTTGCTACAGTGGCCAGGCTGGGCTTAAATTTGCAGTCCTCCTGTTTCAGCCTTCCAAAGTACTAGGATTACAGGCATTTGTAATATACTACATGCCTGGTGGATATTAACTTTCTGTTGTCATAAATTACTGCTTTAGCCAGGTATGGCAGTGCAAATCTAGAATCCCAGAAACTCAGGAGCCAGAGGCAGGATCACAAGTTGGAGGCCAGTCTGGATGATTTAGCAAGACAATGTCTAAAAAACTACAAGAAAAAGAGGGGACAGATGGCTAGGGATGTAGTAGAGTACTTTCTTAGTATATATGTGAGACTGTGGGTTCAATCTTGCATCATTGCAAAACAAAAACTGCTTTATGTATTACTTTATACTATTTAGCTTTGAATTATTTCCTTTGGGTTAAAATATCAGAAGTGGAATTATTCTCATTTTGGTGGCTTATAGTAAAGAAAATTTCCTGATTTTATGGTTTACCAAACTGAAGCTGAATTAACTGTAAGATATTGTGATGGGTATCATTCTGTCTCAATGTGAAACCAGTTACATTTTCCTTTTTTTCCTACTGACCATGTATTTTATGGCTATACTGATAACATATTGCAATCTTTTTGTAGTAGTTATCAGAGAAGACAGATCTAATACCGTGTCCTAGATGGATTATACCTAAAGTTTTAGAAAGCTTGTAATAGTTATGAAACTGAGGTTTTAATGCTTTTTTTTTTTTTTTTTGGTACCGGGAATGGAACTCAGGACCTTGCGCTTGCCAGGCAGGCGCTTGTGCCACTGAGCTATATCCCCGGCCCAATAGTGCTCTTTGATGATAGGGTAGTGTTAGTGTTTGCACTTTGGAGTTACACTGCCGAAGTCTGAATCCTGACTCTTGCTACTCAGTGGTAACTATGTGATCATTAGGAATATAGTAAAATAAGAGTCATAATATACTTTAGGAGAACTTAAGGAGGAATAGCTTGCTACATACCAAATGTGAATTAAATGTTGGTTGCTGTATTTAAAGTCAATTTAGAGCCAGGCGTGGTGGCACGAGCCTATAATCCCAGCACTCAGGAGGCTCAGGCAATAGGATCACTATGTATTCGAGGCCAGCCTGGGCTACATGATGAGACCCTGTTAGGACTTTGAAAAATATGCTAGTCAGCTAGGCATGGTGGCACATGCCTGTAATCCCAGTTCTTGGGAGGCTGAGGCAGGAGGATCACTGTGATTTCGAGGCCAGCCTGGGCTACAAAGTGAGTTCAAGGCCAACCTGAACTACATAAAAGCCTATGAAACCCTACATAAAAGCTTGTAAAAGCCCTTTGTGCAACTCTGTCTCCTGTCTCAAAAAGACCAAAAAAAAAAAAAACAACAACCCAGAAACCAAAGAATGATCGTCTCATATATAACAGTTGGCCTTTTGTGTTGTTTTGGTGTTGTCCCATCATGCTCCACACCTGTTGAACTCAAGGTGTTTTGTACTGAGCTACATCTCTGTGCAGCCCTTTTTTTTTTTTTAATTCTGAGGCAGGGTCTCACTAAGTTGCTCACTTGCTCTTGCTGGGCCTCAAATTCTCAGTCCTCTTGCCTCAGCCACCCAGAATCCTGGGATTATAGGCATGTGTCACCATGCCTAGCTGTAGTCTATTATCCTTGATGCTCTTGTTTCCTTCTCCCTCATCTTCCTTTTCCCTAAAATAGTCCATCTTCAACATTGAATTACTATTATTTTTCAAGATTCCACTTAGGGAAAACATACTTGTCTTTCTGTGTCTGGCTTGTTTTGTTTTGTCTTCCTGTTAATGAGATTTAACTTCTGTGAATATTCAGAAGCATCCTGTGGTATTTTTTGAGATTTAACTTGTGTCAGAAAGCAGTTTTGATGTTTAATGGTAATTTATACATCATTGAATTTAGCCAAATCCTTTGATATCTTTTAATCATTATTTGAGTTATTTCAGTGAATTCATTCAACATACTTTATAAAAAAATTTTTTTTTTTTTTTTTTTTTTTGGTATTTTTTATGAGACAGGGTCTTGTTATGCAGTTCAGGCTGGCCTTCAGCTCACTTTGTAGCCCAGACTGGTCTCGAACTTGCAATGGTCCTCCTGCCTCAGCCTCCTGAATGCTGTGATTACAGGTATGCGCCACCACGCCCAGCTAGGAAGGGTTACTTTTAGTCCATGTATCCTAGGTACATTTCTTTTGACTACTGAGAGATAGCATAGTTGCAACTCCTTTGTGGTAAACGAAATAGAAAGCCTAGGCCTATGCATATTAACTCCCCTTTTTTTTTGATGGTTTAACCATTAACTTTGTTTTTTAAAATTTTAAGTATTAATGTATATTGTATGAATAAATGGGTTTCACTGTGACATTTTCATGTGTCCATAAATCTTGCTTTGTCTGCCGTCTTTTATGCTGTTGTTTCCCTCTCCTCTGTCTTCCTTTTCCCTAAAATAGTTTATCTTCAACATTGAGTTATTATTATTTTTTAAGCTTCCCCTTAGGTGGGAGAACATGTGATACTTGTCTTTCTGTGTCTGCCTTATTTTGTTTTGTCTTCCGCTTAAGGCAGAATATTTGTGCTGTTTATGGGGTGTCAAAGGCCTGGGCATAAGTTTAGAGCTGGGACAGAGGCACTTGTATTTCAGATCAGTTAGCATATTATGTTTGGAGTAACAATTTGGTCAGGGACTCTGTGTTACATAATTCCAGAGTTTTGTTCTTACTATATTTTATTTTTATTGTTGCATTTCTGGGGATTGAATGCAGGGTCATTAAGTTGAGGCCTCTCTCCCCTTTTTTTCTTTGAGACAGAGTCTCACTAGTAGCTCAGTTGCCCAGGCTTGGCTCAAACTTGTGATTCTCTTGTCTTAGCCTCACAAAGTTCTGGGATTATGCTTGTGTACCACTAACACCTTCACATACTGTATTCTGTCTGAGTGGTTCCCTTGGAGTTGTCCAGTGAAGTATTCTGGATATCCTTCTTTGTACATCCTAGGGAAAGTTGAGGTCAGTTATATTGACAGCACTAGAGCCTAGCCTGTGAGAGTGTGTAGGGTACTTTCATTAGTGCTATTATTGTTAATTAACTAATAAAAATTTCTGAAATGGATATTGATTATCACCTTAAGTATTGGTCTGTATATTGTTAAGTTTTTTTTATACACTTCACTCATGTGGTGGTCCATGGACTAGAATGAAGATACCTTTTATTTGGGGATGATTTTGTTTATTTCAGTTGTTTGTTCTTTAAGTTAGAATAGTTCACCTTTGCTGAGTGCAGTGATGCACACCTCTAATGCCAAGTAATCATGAGGTGGAGTAATCCCGGCACTTGGGAGGTTGAGGCAGGAGGATTGCTGTAAGGCCAGCTGGTCTACATAGTGAACCTCAGTCTCCCCTCTCCTGCCAAGAAAAACCCAAACATAAAACAGTTGAATTTTACTTTCATACTGCAGATAGACCAGTTATATAAAACAAATATAAATTGAGGATACCTACCATATAAAAGACTGTGCTTTGAATAATTAAGACAGTAATTTAGTCATACTTATTTTGAAACTGGCTGAGGTGTTTTTATCTTGAATAATTTATACATTGCTTTTTCAGAAGGCTAATGGGCAGATGGTAATACTGTTTCAAAAGGTTTTGATTCTTATTGACATTCTTTTTTTGTTTGTCAAAAGTGTCAACCCAAGAAAAAGTCTGCGCCATTGAAGTATGAAGTTGGAGATCTCATTTGGGCAAAATTCAAGAGACGCCCATGGTGGCCCTGCAGGATTTGCTCTGATCCGTTGATTAATACACATTCAAAAATGAAAGGTAATATTTGTAGTTGATTATACATGCTAACATACAATATGGAATTATAAACTTGCCTTTGCCTTTTAATATAATTTGTTTTTGTTATCTTGAGCAGTAATCCATTAATTCCTTTGAATGGTTAAGATTTTGTCCTAAAACTTTGTTGTATCACATAATTTAAAAATTTTCTGCCAGGCATGGTGATGTATTCCTGTAGTCCCAGCATTAGGCAGGCTGAGACAGGAAGATGGCAACAAGTTTAAGGCCAGCCTGAACTACATAGCCAAATCCTGCCTCAAACAAAAAACAAACAAAATGGGGAGTTTAGTCTTCAGTGATTCTATCTATAAATACCAGGGAAGCTTAGACTACCTTTTTTGGACACAGAGTCTCACAGTGTAGTCCAAACTGGCCTTGAACTCAGTACGTAGCCATGCTAGACTCCAATTTGAAGTGATTGTCCTGCCTTAGTCTCCTGAGTCCTGGGATTACAGGTGTGCCCCATTCATGCCCAGCCTTATGCAATATTTATATTGACTGGAATCACTTTTCATTGTATTTTTGGGTTTCTACTAGTTTTTAGATTTATATCATTTTTGGTAATTTAAAAGCCCAAGCAAGAGAAGTGGGAGAGACAGAATGGTAAGGGGATGAAAAAAGAATTCATATGTGTTATGAGCCAGGCATGGTAGCAGGGGCCTGTATTCCCAGCACTTAGGAGAAGGTGAGGCAGGAGGATCAGTATGAGTTTGAAGCCTCGGTTACATAATGAGATCTTCAAAAAACCAACCAACAAACCAAAAAACTCAGACATTCTGTCTTACTCCAGGAAAAATGGTTATCAAGAATTCACAAAACAAGTTTGGATGAGGTTGTGAGGGGAAAGAACGTTTCTACTTTGTTGGTGAGAATGTAAACTAGCACAACCGCTGTGGAAATCAGTATGGAGATTCCTCAGAAAACTAAAAGAGATTCCATTTGACCTAGCTACACTGTTTCTGCGTATCTTCCTGAAAGAGTTAGACATCTTTATTACAGTGATACATGCATTCCCAGGTTTATAACAGTACAACTTATAATAGTTAAATCTTGAAAGTAGTTGGTGTAACCATTAGCAGATGAATGGGTATGGAAATGCAACACATACATGCCATGGAGTACTATTCAGCCATAAAGAAGGGTAAATTGGAATTTGTATGAAAAGGTGTACACCTTGATATCATAATGTTAAGTGAAATAAATCAGACACCAAAGGTTAAATATCATAGAGTTTCTCTTATGTGAGAAACTTAAGCTATAAATAATTTATTAATTTTTAAATTTTTTTTTTCTTTTTGAGACAGGGTCTTACTGTGCAGTTCAGGCTGGCCTTCAGCTCACTGGGATTACAGTGCTGGGATTACAGGCCCCTGCCACCTGTACAGGCCCCTCCATGCACCACCATGCCTGACATTTTAAAAAAATTATAATTAAGTTTATTGGTACATTTTACATGGTATAAATCATTCAGGTGAAAAATAAAAGATGATAGGAAAAAGACTTTCTGTAGATGAGAAGGGGATCCAGGAAGAAGGGGAGATGGGAAGGGGATCTGGGGATGGGAGAGGGAAGGGAAGTAATAAAGCAGATCAAGATGCAATATGTACATGTACCAACTCCCAGGATGGATGTTTTCATTATGTACTGTAAATGTACACTAATAAAACCAGGCGTGGCGGTGCATGTCTGTAATCCCAGCACTTGGGAGGCTGAGGCAGGAGGATCGTTGGCGAGTTCGAGGCCAGCCTGAACTGCACAGTGAGACCCTATCTCAAAAAAAAAAAGTGAAGAAGAAAAAGATCCTAGTATCCTTTGTGGTTGGTCTGTAGAGACATTTAAATTCTATTCATAGAAAATTCTTTTATTTGTTTTTGTTTTTGTTTTTTGCGGTACCGGGGATCGAACTCACAACCTTGCGCCTGCCAGGCAGGCGCTTATGCCACTGAGCTATATCCCCAGCCCCAGAAAATTCTTTTAAATTCATCTCTGTTCTCTCTACCCCTATGAAACTCCTTACTCACTATAATGTTCTCCACATATAGTAGTTGGGTCCATGGTATTTGTTAAATACTATGTACATATTGTAGGTTGTGTGCTGTGGTAGATGGTAGAATCAAATATTGGGCAAAACAGCAATACCTCTTGCCTTCATGGGAAATTAGAATCCAATAAAAGAGATAGGGCATCAGCTAGTTAAGTCAAATAGACAATTACTTAAGTGAGAAGTCTGTCCAAAGAAAAATTTTAATGTGCAGTGAGAAATAGACCAGGGCTGAGAAGGATAGAGCCACTGAGGAGCCGTGGATCTTCACCCAAAGTAGCTCTGCCTCAGATGCTCAGGGAGCTGCTGGGAGCACCTGCATCGCTGTTGGGGGCCTGATGCTGCCTAGAGCTATGTGTGGGGCACCAGGCTCGGCCATTGCTGGTAGAACATGGAACCCTGGATGCTGTGGCGCTGCTGCCAGCACGTGGGCTGGGTGCTGGTGCTCTTCATCGCCTTTGTGGTGGCCTGGTCCTACTATACCTACATGGTGGAGCTATGCATGTGTCTTACTATGTGGCTCAGGCTAGCATTGAACTCATAGTGATCCTCCTGCCTTAGCTTCCCTCAGCTGGATTTAGGGATGTATGCCACCACGCCTGGCCCTGATTTTTCTTGTAGAATTAGCCCAATTCAGTACAATGTCATGTGAAAATCTACGTTTACAACTTTAGGAGGAGGTGGAAAGTACCTCATCAGATGACTCAGCTATGATGATGACTTGGATCATGTAAACCCAAAAAGTTGTGACAGGACAGTGAGCCAGAGCAAGATATGACAGATAGAGAAGTACAAATGAAGACCCTTGACTCAGAGGAGGAAGAAAACAGTGATGTAAATAAATTTGACTAGTTAAAAATGCTACAAAATGGTCATATATATATGAATGATCGAACTTTAGAACTAGGTTGGAAAATGTTACTAGATTCTTGCCAGGGCTGAAACCTATTGGACAGAATGCCAGTACTGTGATTCAGTGTTTAATTATTTGTAACTGATGATATGCTACAAGATGTTGTGAAATACACTAATAATACAACTAAAACATTCTATATGCACCAATAGTAATACTCAGAAATATATTCATCATGACTCCTCACTGTCTGGACAAAAGGCCTTCAGCGCAGGACTTTATCATTCTAATTGTCAGAATCTAAAGGTTTTATGGAGAAGTGACAGACGTGATGTTGAGGTTTGTAGAACAATGACACTTGAGATTTGGTTTCCTTCAAAATTGCCTAAGTTTTGATGACAAAAAGACATGCCAAAAAAGAAAAAAATGAGACATTTTGACTGCTGTTCACTCATTTGTTGAAAGGTTTATTTTGAACTGTCAAGGAGTTTATACTGTCTGAATACATTATTGGTTGTTGTAGCTTTTGGAAATATATACCAAATAAACCTTCCAAACATGGTGTACAGGTATGTGTCCTGGTAGATGCAGACATTTTACACCTTGAATTTAGAAATTTATCCTAGAACTCAGCCACCACGTGTTTATTCATGAAGTAATAAACCATATGATGTTGTGAACAGACTTGTGCCTATTTAAAAAAATCACCCAGTGTCACATTCAATAATTGGTTCACTAGTTACCCATTGATGTTATATTTGCTAAAAGAACACGAGTTAAAGCTGGGCCTGGTGGCGCACACCTGTAATCCCAGCACTCGGAAGGCTGAGGCAGGAGGGTCATTATGTGTTCGAGACCAGTCTAGGCTACAAAGTGAGCTCAAGGCCAGTTTGAACTGCATAGTGAGACCCTGTCTCAAAAACCAAAAAAAAAAAAAAAAAAAAATACAAGTTGACCAATATAGGAACTATTCACAGAACAAAGTGGGAGATTCCCTCAAAAGTGTTACACATTCACAATGGAGAAATGTATAGTACAATCTTTGGCTTTCAGAAAGACACAACACTGAAAAAAACAAGGAATGACATAACATTGACCTCTGTAGCAAAGAAAATCAAAGTATTGATACTGTCAACATCACACCATGATGATAAGATTGATAGTGAATCTTCAACCCAGATGAAGTCAGAAATGGTCACTTTTTTTTTTTTTTTGGTTTTTCTCTGGTACTGGGAACCGAACTCACGACCTTGCTCATGCCAGGCAGGCGCTTTTGCTGCTGAGCTAAATCCCCAGCCCCCTTCCCTTTTCTTTTTGAGACAGGGTCTCTCTGTGCAGTTCAGGCTGGCCTTGAGCTCACTTTGTAGCTCAGCTGGCCTCAAACTCACAAAGATTCTCCTGCCTCAGCCTCCTGAGTGCTGGGATTACAGGCGTGTGCCACCACACCCGGCTAGAAATAGTCATGTTTTACGACAATATGTAGCAACTACGATGTCACTTGAAACACAAAGTGTTGGCCAATAGTTGTGTTTTATTTAATCCTAAGCATGTCAGGCAGAAATAGTGTCATAGTTTACAAAGAAAATAAGCACAGAATATCATAGAAAGTTTTTTTGGAGGATTGGGACTGGAATTGATAAATGATCAGTTATGACAGAGGAAGAACAATATATATCTGCATAGAGAACTCAACAATTTTGGAGCAGACTGGTGAAGATAGGTGAAGCATCACAAGACCCTCCTAAGAAAACCGGAAGACCAGCATGATGTCCAGTATGGAACATACTGTTTTCATGTGTAAAGTCTGCCTTAGGTGGTGTAATAATTCAAGCAAAGGTTATTTCTGTGGTAGAGTTTTGTTTGCATTTTCATTGTAGTTCACATAGGAATTTATTTCTGTTATTTTTTAGCTTGTGTAAGCAGGTAAATAATTATTGTTGAAAATGTTTATTCTAAACACTTTACATATTTAAAATTTAATACTTTATTTTATTGATATTTTATTCTCCTGTTAAGTACACAATGTATAGTAAAACTTATAAAATTAAATAATAAATCAATAGAAATACTTCTAAAAAATAGAGA